AAGAAATTGGCTGGACAACTAAAAATATATAGAAAAAATTAGCTGGGCATGGTGGCGCATGCCTGTAGTCCCAGCTACTTGGGAGGCTGAGGCAGGAGGATTGCTTAAGCTCAGGAGTTTGAGGTTGCTGTGAGTTAGGCTGATGCCACAGTACTCTAGCCTGGGCAACAGAGCAAGACTCTGTCTCCAAAAAAAAAAGATTGTTCGTCTATATTTGAAATTCATGGAAGAACATGTTTGATTATATAGTCCTATTAAATAGTTTCTTGATTTTCTCCAAAAATACACAAAATAGGAGGAAAGTTACCTACTCTGATATCTCTAAAAAGGTTGATGACTAATTAGAAGTTATCTGTAGGGGTCTCACAAACATCTGTTTAATGATTTTGTTTAACTTGGGAAACCACAGAGAAGATACGATGAGGTACGTGGGAGCAATACGACTAAGGGAACCTTGTACAAGGAAAATTGCAGTGAGGATTCCGATAATAACTGCTCATTTATCTTGCTTCATTATTTGGGCATAACCGGTATCTCTGGTTCCTGTTTGTCTACAGATTGGGAATTTGTTTTCACCCGAGGATTGTAAGACAGGAAAATAAGAGTGCAAGGAAAGGGAGAATTGAGGTTTTAGAAACCCATTCTCAATAAGCTCTGGATAGCATTGCGCTAGTTAAACACACCACAGCAGACTTTGAAAGCCAAAACTGTGCCTTGTTTGTCTTTCTGTTACTCTATTTCACCCTGCCTGTCTTAGATTGGGTTCCCTGGAAACAGACTCAAGATAAAAAGTCATGTGCAGAAGCTTTAGCAGGCAGAAATACTTTCAGGAGCAGAGCTGCAGATTTAGCAACTAAAAATACAGGACACCCAATTAAATTCGAATTTGAGATAAACAACAAGTAGTTTGTTAGTATAAGTATATTCCAAATATCACATGACATATACTAAAAACTATTCATTGTTTGTCTGAAATTCAAACTTAACTAGGCATCCGGTACTTTATCTGGGACCTCTAATCAGGAGATATACCTGTAGGCAAGAGGAAGGTGGAATTGGGCAGAGGGAGACACTAACCTGCAGGGTAGTGGAAACAGAGCCCTTAGCAGATCCTATAGGGAAATACTGGAGCTGGGATGGACCTTCAAAATTTCCCAAATTGAGGGGAGGGGCCAGGCGTTGTATCCCCCATCAGCCTATCATTGACCACAGGCCACCCGGGGAGGAAGGAAAACTTGTACAACCTGTGGCAGAGGGGCAATCCCAGTCCAGCTGTGAGCCATCAGTGCCACTGTTCCCAGCAGCCAGGGATGGGTCGATTCATCAGCCCTGAAGGGGAACCCGGATGGGGTACCACAGTGTTCACTGCATTATTCCAGTGCCTTGCCTCTGCCTCAGATAGTTTAATCTGACTGAAGCCTGCCCTGTTCTCTTCTGCTCCAGCTTCCACAGAATAATCCAGCCTGTACCTATTTGCTTGAAGTTGGTTTTTCTTTTTTTCATGTTACCGTTCCTTTGTAAACTGTTCAAATGATCCTCCCCTATCAGGGGCCAAGGCTTACCCTGACCAATGTGATGGCATGAGGCCAGGGCTAGAATATAAAGAGATGCTTTCTCATTCTGCCACATTCCAACATAGCATATGTAGACATTGCCAGATGTCACCAAGAATATCCCAAGAATTACAAAAAGAGATATTTGAGTGTCATCTGAAACTTGAAATTACGTGATTCTAAATTACTGTCAGGATTGGTGAGGTTCAGTACATCTAAGCTAAAGAGCAATCTACGAATACATAGTATTATTAATATAATACTATAGTACCTTATAGTATAATATTATAACACTACATATTATTGTTCTATAGTACCATATATTATATTACTACTATAGTACTATAGTAGTGTAATATTCTTTGTAGGAAATAAATATTGGAGCTTCTTAGCCTTTTCATCTGTGTCATAAACAACAGAGAGAATAATGTGTTAGTTATCTACTATTACATAACACATTAGTCTAAAACTTAGCAACTGAAAACAATGCACACACACACACACACATATACACACACAGAGTTTCTACGGGTCAGGAATCTGGACACAGTTTAGCAGGGTGGTTTCTCACAAGGCTACAATCAAGGTGTTGGCCCGGGCTATGGTCTCTTCTGAAGGCTCAACTGAAAAAGAATCCACTACCACGCTCACTCACGTGATTCAGTTCCTTGAGGGTTATTGGGCTGAAGACCTCAGTTCCTTGCTGGCTGTTGGTGCTGGGTTCCTGGCCACGTGGACCTCTCCAACACAGCAGCTTGTTTTATCAAGTGAACAAGTTGAAAAGGCAAGAAAGAGTGCTGGCCAGACTGAAATGACAATCTTTTGTAACTGTTTCCATTTTTTAGGGCTGCTGTAACAAAGTGCCACAAACTTGGTGTCCTAAATAACAAAAATGTATTTTCTCACAGTCCTGGAGGCTAGAAGTCCAAAAGGTGTTGGCAGGGCCATGCTCTCTCCGAAGACTCTAGGGGAGGATCTCTTTCATGTCTCTGTCTTAGTTCCAGTGCTGGCCAGCAATCCTCGGTGTTCCCTGGTTTGTAGATGCATCATTCCATTCTCCTTTTATGTCATCACATGGCACTCTGTGTGTGTGTGTGTCTCTGTGTCTTCACGTGTCATTCTCCTCTCTGCATCTATCTGTCTGTGTCTATTTATCTGTCCCTATTTCCAAAAAAGGTCACAACATAGGTATTGGGAGTATTTCAACATCTCTTTCTGGCAGACACAATTCAGCCCATAACAGTAAACTAATCTTGGAAGTGACATCTGATTACTTTTGCCGTATTCTATTTATTAGAAGCAAGTGACTGGGTCCAGCTGTCACATAGGAGTGGCGGTTACACAAGGAAGTGAACACCACAAGGCAGAGTTCCAGAATACCACTGAGTCATGTCACATCAGCCCACCCCGGGGCCTCCAATGATGCACATGATACATGATGCAGTGAAGGAATTCACAATCAGAGTTATGATCAGATTAATAGGGTAATTGGGAATGTTAGGTGACAAGAATTTTATGTAGTGAGATTTGGTAAGTTTCAAAGTCATTTTGTTTTAAGACAAGTAATGCTACCCTAGAAAGCCTTCTCTTAATTCTGTGAAAGATGTACAAAGACAGTCAGGAGATGTCTGGCACTCCAACTGGCACTATGAACTCTTCAGAGAAGACCAGAACCTGATGATGTGGTCAGCATGCATGGTTGGTGTCCTTTCTTGTGGGACTCAGAAATAGAGTTGGAGTTTCTGATTGAACTTTGTTGACTCTGTTGAGTCTTAGATTTTACCATTTGAAAAATGCTGTATTGTCATCAGTTTTCCTCCTAGAGATCTTTTGGGAATAGTGCTGACACCATGCTGATGATTCTTTGCTTTCAAGGGGTAAATGGAGGATGGCAGCCAATAATAAGCCAATGGTTGCTTAAAGGAGTGCCAGTTAATAAAGATCCTTTATTTTGTGCATGTTCTTCCTCCTCCTCCCGCCCCTTGTTTAAAAGCAAAATTGCACGATGGAAACCTCTTTGGGCATGGCTTCCCACCCATCTCCTTTTCAGGATTAGGTCTGGCCTTTTGGGGAGGTGGGGGTAGCAGTTAGTATCAGGGCACCTCATCTCCTGGATGCCCACAGCCTCCTTCCCCTCAGAGGCAGGCAGATTGATGAGGTGATGCTGTGACATGGCGCAGGTCCACATCTCTGGCCAGTGATTCCAAAATAAAAAACCTCTAAAAACCTCAAGTTTATTCCGTAAGTCATTTGAAGGCAAAACTTGACCTGAGCTGACATGTGGCTATTCATAATCTTTATGTACCCCAGTTAGTGAGGAGGGGCCATCCTATTTGGTTGGAGAAATTTAAAGTCATAGATAAAGTCATTAAGTCATTACAGGGTGCTGCCCCAGACCCTGAAAGGGTGTGATATATTTCTAAAATCAGAAATATTCTGAATTGTCCAATATATCTGGTCCCAAAGGTTTCAGAAAAGGGATTGCAGTTCTGTGATAGCACATCTTAAAGGAGATCATTTCTATCCTAGCAAACAAACAACAAAACTATGATTTATGCTTCGTAATTTTATAGTTAGTTTAAGACCTGCTTAGGCATAATTTTAAAAAAAAGGTAAAACTTTCCCCTGGTGAAAGGACCATTAAAATATATTGGGTTCAAAATTTACTCGTTATAACTAAAATGTATAAGAAAGTAATTCGATTTTCTGTAACATCTCATATTGCTTTAAACTCCCTATTCCAAGGAGTATTGGAGAGGAAAAACTCTCAAACTTGCCTTTTAAAGGAAACTGGGCTCTTTCTTTTTAAAATAGATTCTTTAGGGTAAAACTAGTCACTTTTGCCTTCTCTTGAGTGGCACAGGGAGAAGTTTGTGTGAGTAACATCGTGTCAACAGACTATTTGAACTTCCTGAAATCTATCCCATAAAAATTTTTAAAATATGTAGCAAATTTACATATGTGTGTAAGTGGGTATGTATTCTCATGCACACATATATAAATTGTGTGTGTGTATATATATTGTTTATAACATGTATAGTTTATAATAGCTAAGAACTAAAACAGTCAAAACATTCATCAATAGATAAGTGGTTAAGTGAACTGTAATATATTTATACAGTGGAATAGTATGTATAAATTAAAAAGAATTAGGTAAATCATATAAACTTATATGGAAAGATGTCAAAGACCATAACTAACTGATACAAGCAAGTTGCAGAATAATGCTTACAGTACAGTGGCGTAAGCATACTGTATGCAAAAAAGAGTATATGCAAATGTATAGAAAAAAGACTGCAAAGGTTATAAACCCAACAGTGATTACCTCTCAGAAGTGTTGGATTGAGAGGATGGAGGTGTGAATAGTAACTTTTATATTTTACTCTATTATTTGGTATTTTATTACGTGTATATATTTGTATAGGACTGTGTAGTTGGAATTATTTTAATTTTGTAAATCATTGTGTTTTCTATGAAAAAAATGTAATAATAGTTAATATGTTAATACCAGGAAAAGCGGCCTGCATTGACAAGTTATGTATCACACCACAAGAGCTGATTTCTCGCCTGGGAGAATTTGGACAGTTCTGCCCCGTCAGCCTGGCAGAAACATGTGAATTATTGGATTGCTCTGTAACAGACTCCTTGGAATTTGCAGCAGAGTTCAGGGGGCACTATTATAAAATGAATTCTCAGGAAAAACTGAATGTAAGTTTGTTCCTAACTCCAAATATTTACTAAGGAAAGAAAATGCCTTATCTTGGAATTTGTCAAAGAGGAAGGGGTGGGCGTTGCTGGGAACACCCAGAAACTTGGGATTGGGAGCCCCATTATTGGGACCTGTGATTCTGGGACCAGTGAGGCAACTCAGTGGTCAGTCCTGCAACTGCACTGCAGGATATATTTGGAAACATTGCAGAAATCCAGGGTCAGTGATGGCCCCTTGGTCTGGGCCAGCCTAGTAGGTGGGGAAAGCCAAGGTGAGCCCCCCCAATACTGGGATGCTGAGCGTCAAGGGCTCTGCCCGCAGGTGGGCACCCTGGGGATTCAGCTCAGGGGCTGCAGAAGGAAAATCAGAGTCAGTGGAAATGAAGCAAGAGCTGATGTACGTCTCCTGGGCTTTAAATTGTTTTCTATTGCTAGAATTTCCCATACACCTTATATTTTTGTTTAATGAAACAGAATATAGATTTGTTCTGATATTATAATGTCCATAATTTGATGATATAGAAAGACTGGTGGTTGAAAACAATAATGAAAACAAAGATACCTCTGAACATTTTATTTTCCTCTGAGAATTAGAATTTTTTATCCCTTTATTAAGGAGATGTCTATTTCTTCCTGCTTATTTAAATGGTAATCACAGAATTTTAAAACTAGAATGACATTAGAGATCATGTCACTGGCCCACCCCCTCCATTTTACAGAGTGGTACCTGAAGCTGGAGTCAACTCACCTGCCAAAGGGCACCCACCTGGTTCATTATGCGGCAGGACAGAAAGGCCAGCAGTTGAGCGTGCATGCTCCACTGCCCGCCATGTCATAGGAGTGCAGCGAATTTTTTTGTATGGAGGAATGAATGAATGAGTGAGCGAGATTAGCAGAGACTGTAGATGTGATCAGTCAGTTTAAGGAACTTCCAGTCAGAGGAGAAGTTATCAGTGCAGGAGCAGCAGATGCCACTGCTGAAAATGGGGAGAGTGCAGGAGAGCCTCAGTGGATTTCTGATTGGCACAGCATTCCTGGTTTAAATGGTCTTGCTACTGTAACCCTTTTTTTGGTGTACATTTATGGGGTGCAAGTGTCATTTTGTTGCATGGATAATTGCACAGAGATCAAGTTAGGGCTTTTAGGGTATCTATCACCCAAATAATGTATGTTGTACCTATTGAGTAATTTCTCATCATCCACCCCTCCCGTCCCCCCACCACCCTGTGATCTTTTTCTAATAGAAATTCTTGGAGAACCCAGAATTATACGTGCCTCCCTTAGCACCCCATCCACTCCCGTCTGCTGACATGCTCCCCAAAAGGCTGACGCTGTCAGAGCTGAAGAGTCGGTTCCCCAAGTGTGCCGAGCTCCAGGGCTACTGCCCGGTGACCTACCAAGATGGAAAACAAAGGCAAGTCCTCGCCTTCCTGCAAGTACAGAATGATAGTCTACTCAGAACTAGTGGTTCATATGACAATCTTAACATTTTTGTCCAAAGGTTGCTATTGTTTAGTTGGAAAAATGTTCTATTTCTTCCTTGAGCTGCATAGGTAGAAAAATTAAACATTTTTGATGTTTTATTTAAATGGTTTTGCATATTAATTATACAATAGGGGGGTTTTGGTTTGTTTTTTGGCTTTTCAGATATGAAGCCCTAGTACCTGGTAACATTAACTATGCTGCAGAATATCGTGATCGTATATATATTTGTGAGAATAAAGAAAAACTCCAGAAATTCTTGAGGTGAGACCATTCACTAAGTCCCAAATATTTATTGAATTTCTTCTGTGCTCCATGCAGCGTACTGAGGAACTGGGCGGGGGAGATATATATGCGAGAGAGAGAGAGAGAGAGAGGGAGAGAGAGAGAGAGAGAGAGAGAGAGAGAGAGAGAGAGAGTGTGTGTGTGATGGTGAACGAGGACTAGTCCCTGCCATCCCAAAGCCTGAGGTCCAGGGTAAGATAGACTTTAAGTACCTGATAACAACAGAATGTGATGGAGTTTAGGGTGGGCAAATGCCTGGACTTCTGGGACAGTGTAGCCCGAAGGACTGATTGAATTATCTGTTGAGTAAGGCCAGAATAAGGAGTGGGACTTGGCTAGATGAGGGGAAAGAGGGACACGTTTCAAACAGAGGGACCCACGCACAAACCTGGCCCAGGGATCACTCAACTACAAGGAATTCAGCATGGCTGGATGTGACATGGGGAGGGATGAAGGAGCAAAGGTGAGGCCAGTGGTGGGGAGCAGGACCAGAGTTTGGGAGGTCAAGTGAAACCCACTACGAAGCCTCTGGACTTGACCGAAGGGCAATATGAGTAATTGACTGGTTGTGTAAGTTAGGTCAGTGTCATAATCAAATCTGCTCTGGAGTGAGACCATCATTGGAGTGTTGATAATGGGTTGGAGGCAGGAAGACCAGTTATGAGGCTGTCTGAGTAATCCTGTCCAACATTTGGTGCTGTGTTTAAACTCACCTATAAGAATCATGTGGGAAAAGCAGGCTTGGGACCATGCCCTGAGAGACACCAAGAGCTGAGACGGGAGACTGAGAAAGAACCACAGTGAGGTGAAAGGGGCGTCAGAGGGGAGGCAGAAAGTCTCCGGGATGGCGTGGCCAACAGATTGAAACGCTGCTTTAGAGGTCAGGCAAGTCAAGGGCTGTGAAATGTCTGAGATTGAAGTGGCAGTGGCTCTTGGGTGACGTTGGCAAGAAAGGCTCAGTCAAGCAAAGTGAGTGGAAGTCAACCACAGAGGTCCGAAGAGTGGATGCAAGATGAAGAAATGAAGACCTTGCCTGTAGTCCAGAATTTGGGAACACAGATGCCTACAGCGGGCGGGAGGCAGAGGACCTCAGGGAAGCAGATTGGCTGTGAAGCCATCACAGAGTGGGGACTGCTGCACACCAGGCTGCCTGTAGCCCGCTACAGGGAGCAGCAACTACTCATTCACTGCCAGACATTTCTGCTTTTCCTTTTCACAAGCGTCTGGAAACCAAATTTCTTTTTAAATTGTGCAGATCTTTAAACACTGATGACTGATTCAAATTTAAAAATAATATACCATGTAGATCAAATCACATCTGCAGATAGCATTTGCGCAGTCGCTTGCAATCTCTAGGGAAGCTCACTGCTTGAAGAAGTTTAATTTTAAAAAGAGAAGAGATGTTAGTTGCTGGAAGAAATATAAGAAGTGAAGGAGGTTTGTCTTTTTTTTTTAATGGGGGAATTATGAGAACGTTCACGTGCAGATGCGTGAGATGGATCCAATAACGAAGGAAAAGCCAGATGCAAAGGAGAGGGAGTAAGAAATTGCTATAGTAAGATACCTGGAAAGAAGGTGCTGGATCCAATGTGTGGGCAGGGACTGGTCTCAGGTGGGAGGTACCTCTGCTTGTTATCAGCAACTGAGGAAGTCCAACCCGATGGCCTTTTTGTGTACAGCATGGCATCTGCCTGGGGGTGAGAGGTCCTTAGAAGAGTCAAAAGTTTGAGGAATAAAGTATTTCATAGTTGCTGTGAACAATAAGAAAGCTGAGAATAGGTGGGCGGGGATGGAGACCAGGTGGGTGGATCACCATGAACTTTTAGGAGCCCCAATCTTCCCACTTGTATAATTTTCTCCAGGGGAGGAAAACAAGTAGCGAACTTTATCTGTAATTGTCTCTTGCATATTCCTATATACACACAATGAGTATATTTGTGAACAACCATCTAATGAACTTTGTGTTCTTAGGTCACCAATGAAATACTGGGATCAGAAGCTTCCACACAAACTGCCCCCATTAAGGGAACCGATAATTCTCACTAGTCTTCCTTTGCCTGGATATCTGGAACAGGTTCTCTTTTGTCATTTTCTATGATACATGTTAGAAGAGTACAACAGTATCTTCTTTTTAGCAATAATTTTCATTTTGGTAACAATAAAATTGAAGGCAGAGTTTTATGATTTTAAGCTGCAAACAGTAAAATTCAAGGCAAAGTTTTCTGCTGTTAAGCTGCAAATCCACTCTTAACCTATTTTGTTTATGGATGGTTGTTAAAATAAAAAGTGTGAAAATCCCCTGATTCCATAGCTAATTCCCGGATATCTGCACTGAAGTAAAAAGAGAGTTGATGTCATAAAATTATTTACATTTGACATGGATATGTAGTTTGGTTCTTGTTTTTGAATTTCAGTGTCTGTAAAACTTTTTCATAATTTGAAATGTGCAGATTCAGTCTCCTCCAGGTTCATTCACTACTGACAAGAGTTGCGTGGCAGTGCCTTGACAACTGAACCTCAAAGCCCATATTTTGCTCAAAATCCGGATGAAGATATCAATTCATCACATTTTATTTATTCAAATGTAACTCTTTTTAAAGATAGTAAAACTTAGCAGCAGCCAACTATTCTTAAAGCTATTTTTTTTTAATTTCTACAAAATAAAAGTCTAGGGCACAACTTCGTACCTTTATCAGAAATTCTTTTATTTTTTCAACTTGCCTAGACGGTTAGCCTTTGATCTGGTTTAACTTGAAAATTCCAGGTGAGGCTCACCCAGAAATGAATCTTCTTGTAAATGCTGAATTTTATCAGAACGGCCTCGCACCTTCTTCTAGGTACCAGAATCTTGACTACAGTGATAACTGTGGTCTCTGGAATTCCTTTGCAGGTGGCCAAGGGTCCTCACAGTGGCAGGCAATATGGCCAGTTTTGAGAATGGAAGCAGATATGGGCCAAGACAACTCAAAGCCCAGTGTCCCCTTCTTTCTTTTTTAACTTTTTGTTATGAAGAATGTCAAACAGATAAAAATAGAGAGAATTGTGTGGTGAAGCCCGTGCATGTAGCCACCACCCAGCTGGCACTAAGCCAATGTGTAATTTTCCTTTTCCTAATCAAATGTATTTTGTGTTTCTTTCTTATTGGCTAAGTAATCATCTAACCATGTTTATGAGCCCCATCCCCACCCCCAGGAGGCTATTTGAGGCAAGGAATAAGCCTCTCTATTTATTTGCACTAAGAAAAGAAACCAAACTTAAATATACACATAATTGACATTGTTCCCTACCTGCAGGGTATCGCAACTTCTCTAATTAAAGCAATGAATGCAGCAGGATGCTTAAAGCCCAAATTCCCCTTCTTGAGTATAAGGAGGTCTGCACTAGTATACATAGCATTTCATCTAAAAGGTATGTCCTTTTTTAAATTATACACTACTCAGAACTAATGTAACATTAATGATAACATACATGATGAATAGGATTGTTAAACTGGGTTGGTTGCTTGGTTGGGAGACTGTGTGTGTGAGTGTGTCTCAAATACAACACAGGGCAAGTATTTTAAAGAAAATGTAAAAATTGAATTTCTAGTTTTCAAAGGAGAGACTATAAGTAATATAGTCAGCTCTCATAGGGGTGGGGAACCTGGGACCTTGGGGCCGCGTGTGTCCTTCTGGATCCTTGAGTGTGGCCTTTTGACTGAATCCAAATTTTATAGAACAAATCCTTTTAATAAAGAGATTTGTTCTGTGAAGTTTGGATTTGGTCAAGGGGCTGCACTTGGGGATCTGGAGGGCCACATGTGGCCTTGAGGACGCAGGTTCCCCACCCCTGCAAGGTGAATATAGGCAATTATGACCTAAAATAGAATAATCCCGAATCTCATTTGGGATTTGGATATCTCCTCAACCATAGCTATGCAACTCAATCACACAGCCAGTTGTCTTTCTCTTTCCTTTAATGACTCACTAACATAATAGATTCACAGTTCTGTGAAATTTTCTACAGCATTTAATCCCAAAGGTTCTGAATATACAAGAAAAAAGTATAAAAAGAAGATGGAACAGTTTGTGGAGAGATGTGAACTCATAACATACTTAGGTGCCAAGATGACCAGAAAATACAAGGAACCTCAGTTTAGAGCCATTGATTTTGATCATAAATTACAGACCTTCCTCTCTCTCCAAAATATAGACCCAATTAGTGGATAGTTTGCTTAGGTAACTGCAACCTGAATCTCAAGTTGTCACAAAGTGACAGCGGGAAGTCAAGAGCAGTGGACTGAAAATCTGGGCCTCTCTGAAGTACTTTTCCCTCCTGAGAAATGTACACAGTTGCCAGACTTCAAATGGACTCAAAGTTCTGCCAGCCAGGAAGCAACACTCTTCTGTAAGCATAAGTTTTAGTACAGTTTTAAGGTTTATTGCTCTTTGCCTGAACTTTGATGCTTTAACAAAATAGACATTCCATTTATAATTCCATTTAGAATACTAAAGTAACTTATTTTAATAGATTTATTGTTTACTTTTTAACATTTTCAGTAGAAATGTTAGTCTCTGTTAAAGAAAATTATTCATTAAAGGTTAGAAAGCTTCAAGAAACAAAGTTAACATTGATATAAAAACAGAAATATTGGTTATATGTTTTACATAAGAAGTTGTTTATGAACTTTGTGAACATAAGATGCTATTATTTTCCCAAAATAAATGGATTTTTTGATAATTAACTCCCTGCCTCTTTTCTTTTCTTAAGTATTCATGGAAGCATACATTATACATTATTTTATAATTAGAAATCACCTGTAGTTTTAAGAAGGATGACATCTAGAGTTTCATCTAGAGTTTCATCTAGAGTCATTATATATGACATCAATCAAAAAGCATACGTAGAAGAAAACTTACTAAATTGAATTTGAATGAGATTTTAAAAATAAGACCAACTTTTCAGCAGCAGTATTAAAAAGATCTAGAATGTGAAACAGCAAGATTGGCTCTTTAAAACTATTAAAAATATGACCATTAACTGTGTAACCTTGGGTAAATCTTAATTTCTCTGAGGCTTGGTTTCTTAATCTCTAAAATGAATAATTTAGCTCTTTGATCCCTATAAATTGAATAATGTCAGTTAAAAACTAGAAGCCTGTTTTTATATATGTTTTGTATGATATATTTCATAATAAGATGATTTTTAAACAAAATCTGGAAGCCTGTTGTCAAAGTTAGAATAAACGTCAAAAGCCTTTACTTTTTCAGGATACTGGGAGTTGCCAGTGGCTAACAAGTTTCGCTGGCAACTTAAGCCCCTACCCGCTCTTGTTCCTGCCCATTTCTTAATGCTTGTAATTTACCATCTTGTCATCACCAGACTACCAGCTACTGGGTTTTTTATTCTTAACAAGATGTAAGTGTCTTCAGGTCTCTTCAGCCTGTCTACAAATGGGACCTTATTTAGAATAACTGCAGACAGGGCTACTATTTCCAGTCTGATTGCCACATGGCCAGAGAGTGTGCTACTGGCTTTACGCATGTTATCTCTTCATTCTTACACCAAGATCATATAAAGAGTAGAATTCAGATTCAGACCTTATCAGCCTAACTACAGAGCCTTGCACTTAACCCTTGCCACTTCCTAACTGCAAGCACATCCTGGAAACCACCGTAACAGTATCTGTTCTTAAGGTGAGTCGTTGCCCAGAGTCCTTTGTGCGTGTGCGTGTGCAGGTGCATGTGCGTGGAGGTGTGTGTATCACTCCATACATGCACTCAGAGCCACCGGTACTGTTTGCTGTCCTCCTCAGGGGTACAAGTTGTGTTTTCTTTAGCAAGCCATGTCAAGAGGTCCCTAACAAGGAAGAACAGCATTTCTGCAATGAGAAAGGAGAACATGTATCATTTTAAAACCTTATTGAAATTTTCCTTTTGTTTAGAAAATTATGCTTGCATATTATTGTAAATAATCCGTGAACTAGTGTCACCAAATATAATGAAAAAATATTCTGCCTAGGTGTCCAGAGACCCTTAATATCTTCCCTGAGTGAAACAATAAGAGAGTGGATGGCACTGGGGCTCACCCACAAACTGAGACTCCCTTGTGCCCACCCCCATCCTCAAGCTGCTGCCCCAGCCTTGACTGCTCCAGGAAGAGGCTGAGGCGGTGCAGCTCTGAGGGCGAGGAAAACTCTTCAACCAGCCTACGCCTCTATATGGCTTGTTTATACGTCATTTTCACTGCAGCCAAAAGAATGATAATTTCACCCAGGGGGGAGAAGCAGTCTCCATATGACACATCCTAAGACAAAAAGTCATGTAACTATAGTAAATGAAATGTGGAAAAGTAGGGAAAGGGTTTTAGAGTACTTCCTTTCCTTCCTTTTTTTAACGGTTACACTCAGATCCATCGAGTAGATATCCTACATGTGACCATTCCTACTGCTGAACTGTGTACTGTTGTACTGTATTAAAAAACACTGCGATGAATCTTTCCCTCTTGTATTTAGGATTATTGGCCTGACAAACTCTGAGAAATAAAATTTCTGAGTTAAAGGGCATGAATATTCTTAAATGCTATTCATTCACAATTCATATTACCAAACTACTTTCAAAAATGGTTATAGCAATTCATACTACTTCCAGGAGTGCCCAAGGACACCAATTTTATCACTTCTTTACTATCATTTCTCATTATTTCTTTAATATGTGAAAAGTAGAACTTTGTTGCTTTAATCTGAATTAATAGTGAGATTGAACATTATTGTATATGTTGGTCACTAGTTGCATTTTATCTTTGGTGAATTATATCTTCACATCCTTTGCCCTCTGACTTATTAAGCATTTTTAAATTGTTTTGTGTGAGTTCTTCTATGTAAGATAGACATCAATTCTTTGCATTTGCAGTAAAGAAATTCTATTTTTTAGGTACCAAAGGAAAACCTGTTCATCATTCCCTTATGATTTTGAATAGTGTTCTAAGCTCTGGAAATTCTTCCATCTCCAGAGATTTAATAAATATTCTATTCTGTTTTCTCCTACTTTTTGGATTTTTTTAAAGTATATTTAATTCTTTAAGCTCTCTAGAATTCATTTCAGGATATGGTGTGAGCTGTGATTTTAAATTCTTCAAAACTCAAAATACAGTAATAAATACAATAGTTTTTAAAGATTTTCAATTTTATTATATATCTTTCATTTTATTCTTAATTTGAGAATTTATTGAATTCAATTAATTTATTAAAATTCCATAAATTCAGTGGCGAAGGGGAGAGAGTTCAAGGACAGCAAAGGAATGAAAGATACATTTTACATATGAATGCCTCTGTCTAGTCGTGGGTGATTTTTTGTTAAATCTTTTTTTGGTTTGTTCTTGCTTTTGCAAATGGAGACTTGAGGAAAGATATATCTACAAAGCCTGAGAGCCCTTAATTATGGGTGGTTCTGGGAAGAATTCTTAGAGGGAGTGACATTTGGATTAAATGGACCTTTCAGAATCGAGGCAGGTAAAATTAAAGAAATAAATCACAACTGAGATTTTTAAACAGAGAGTGAAAGGCATTCCAAGAATTAGTGTGAGTTTCAAGTCAAGGCTAAGTGAAAAAAAAAAAAGAATTAATTAGCGAGCACGTGTATTCACCAACCCTGAGTGGCAGGCATATTGAGGACCACTTAGTAAATACAAGCATGTGTATGTTTACGAGAACTCTACCAGTCTAGGGTAGGTGATAAAAATATAAGCAGGTACACACCAGCCCTGTGTAGGACACGGGATATGGGATCTGGAACTGGAGCACTTCTGAATTAGTGCTGTAAAATCCCTATACACTATTGCCATTGACCATTAGCAATTACCCTTCTGTTCCCCTCAAATCACTTTAAGTCATAATGAGCCTTGGACTATAGTTTCTTCCAACTTCGGTTATCATCCAACCACCCCAGGCTGCATAAATATTTCTTGTGTCCTTCGTCATGACAAAGGACTTCCACCAACTTTTAATTGCCAGCTGACCATGACCACGTTCTTCCTCCAGTCTCCTGCCAGGTTCTCCACTGACCCAATCCACCTGGAAGCCAGTACGCACATGGCTTCGTTGATGAAGTCCTTGAGTCCTTGTAGCTTCCCAAGGCCTAAAGAAGAGGGGAGAAGAGTGGAGACTGGATTTGGAAGGGAAAGAGAAAAAAATCTGGATCGTATAAGAATGTCCCATGTTACACTATTCATTGTTTCTGAAATTCAAATTTTACTGGGTATCCTATGTTTCATTTGTGAAATCTGCTGCCATTCTCCCCCTCATTCACTGTGCTCCAGCCACACAGGCCTTTCTGTTCCCAGATGCACCAAGCTCATTCCCAGTCTCAGAGCCTTTATACTTGCATCTCCCTTGCCTAGAGCATTCTTATGCCAGATCTTCACACAGCTATGTCAATACCATTCAAATATCAGCCCAAATGTCACCCTATCTTCACTTCACTTCCCGTCAGTCTCCATCCTCACTCTTTATAAAAGTTAAACTTTCTGGGGAATTATATTACTTATTTGTTTACTTATGTGTCTGTCCTGTCTCCCTTTAGTAAAATGTAAGGTTCATAAGGGCAAGGGCCTTGTTAGTTACTGTATCCAGCACCTGACACCATGCCTGGCACTTAGTAGGCATCCAATAAATACTTGTTGGATGAATGAATGACACTCCAAACCCTGTTCTGTAAGATTTAAACTTAAGAGGACCTGCTGGGGGTAGACCAGCTGGCCCTAATAACAACAAAAACATTTTAAGAAAGGTCAACAGAAGGCCAGGTACATTGACTCACGCCTGTAATCCTAACACTTTGGAAAGTCAAGATGGAAGGAATGCTTGAGGCTAGGAGTTTGAGACCAGCCTAAGCAAGAGCGAGACACCTCCCCTTCCCCCCCGCCCCAAAAAAAAATAGAAAAATTAGTGGACCTAATGGCATGTGCCTATAGTCCCAGCTACTCAGGAGGCTGAGGCAGGAGGATCACTTGAGCCCAGGGGTTTGAGGTTGCTGTGAGCTGTGATGATGCCACTGCACTCCAGCCCAGGCAAGAGACTCTGTCAGGAAGAAAGGAAGGAAGGAAGGGAGGGAGGAAGGAAGGGAGGGAGGGAGGAGGAGAAAAATCAACATGGATCCTGAATAAAACTGCCTTGAAGAAAGGACAAGCCTCCACAGTGGGTGGGTGATACTGGAAGATTCTTCAGACCCAGCTTCCCCTCACAGAGCTTGTGTTTTAGTGAGCAATGACCGAATGAGGAAATGGGAGTGCCTGGCTTACCTCTGCACTGAGTCATCTTCAGCTGTTGAGGATCTGTGGAGGACAAGTGTTTTTACTGCAAGCCTTGTGGCAGCAAGAAATAACGGGGCAGCCAAGTCCTAGGACTGAGCTCTCTTCCTGCTGGCATGCAAAGTCAGCTAGAGCTCCCCACCATCCCACTTGAACCCCCACAAATCTGGGAGATTTAGAAGCAATTCAGGATGAAGGGGAAACCTC